AAATGGCTGTTTGGTACTGTACCTGTGATAAAACACCCAGACTCTAATGCCCTGTTTATTATTCAAGTGGATGCTAGCAATGTGACAGTGGGAACAGTACTTTTCCAAAGGAACAGCGAGGATGCCCTGCAGCCATGAGCATACACCTCCAGGAAATTGAGTGACACTGAACAGCAGTGGGAAGTGTAGGAAAAGGAGGTTTATGCAATGTGCTGCACACTCTTAACGTGAAGACACTTCCTGGAAGGGAGCAAGACCCCTTTCAAGATGTGGGCTGACCACAAAAACCTAACCCTAAAAACGCCCCGGTGGCTATCACCCAAGTAAGTCTGAAGGGCTCAGTACTTTAATTAATTTAACTTCACACTCCACTAACTACCAGGGGGAAAGAATTTCCTAGCCAATGCATTGTCCAGGATGCCCCAATACACTAGTTCCAAACAGGAAATAGTGAGACCATTTATCCCATCTCACCAACTCGCAGCACTGGTCATCACCCAAACACAGGTGAAATAACAACCCCAGGTCAGGGGTGACATAGCAGACTCCCTAAAAGCAGCATTAGAGGGAGACAAGTGATTCCAGGTTTACAATGAATGCATGTTGTAAAGGAGCTTAGCCTGGGTGGGGGCAAAGCTGTATGTTCCAGAAAGCCAAAGATTACTAATCCTGGTGAAAAGCCATGATTCGAAAACTGCTAAACATTTTGGCTTTGTAAAAACACTGCACCTGATTAAGTGCCAATTCTGGTGGCCATCACTAAAAAAGGACATTCAAAGCTATGTGGCTAGCTGCCCAGTCTGCGCTTCAGTGAAGAAATGGGAAAGGAAGACACCAGGACTCCTCAAACCTGTAGCGGAAGGAAATTTCTATGGATTTCATAGTAGAGCTACCTGAGAGCTCAGGAAACTGTTATTTGGATGATCACTGACTTGTTTATTTATTTATTTATGAGACTTATATACCGCTTTAAGTGCAAGCACTCTCTAAGCGGTGTACACCAGTAAGCAATGTATATATATATATTTACATTGCCCCCAACAATCTGGGTCCTCATTTTACCTACCCCGGAAGGATGGAAGGCTGAGTCAACCTTGAGCCGGTGAGATTTGAACCGCTGACCTGCTGAACACAGTCAGCTAAAGTGGCCTGCAGTACTGCACTCTAACTGCTGCGCCACCTCGGCTCTTATTGTTCTCTAAACAAGTGCATTTTGTGCCCTGCCAGAAATGGAAGTGTGAACATGCAAATGGGATGCTAGAGCAATAACTGGGGTACTACATAAATTACCAACAGGACAATTGGACTGACCTCCTGACATTTGCTGAGGTGGCCTATAACAACTCTATATAGCAGCACCAGATTCACCTGTTTAAAGTGGCCACAGGACAGGACTTTGTACCCATCCCTGAACTGCCCTTGACTACCCCCCTCCATCTCCTCTTTAAAAGACTGGGCTGCCCACCTATAGGACTCCTGACGTGTGGTCAGGAAATCATTAGAGAAGGCAAGAGAGTCTTCTAAGAAACAAGCAGACAAAAAAATGAACAAAGTCCAAACAAGTGTACCTTTTCACTAAATATTTACAGTCTAGAAAGCTCTCAAAAAAGTTGTGTCCCAAATATGTATATCCTTTCCCTATCAAAAGAATCATTGATCCAGTCACAGGGGAACTTGAGCTGCTGAAATCACTTAGGTGCATTCACCCAATCTTTCATTGTAGCTTACTGAAACAGGAAAGTCAATCCTCTCTGCATGCAAGGCTACCACCATCTGAGCCACTCATGATTGAGGAAGAACAACACTTTGAAATTAAAGGTATTTTGGACTCACTCAAACACTGTGGAAAACTTTAGCACCTAGTAGCGTGGAAGGACTTTCCCCCCTCAGAGACTGAATGGGTGGATTTTAAACATATTAAAGTGAGCAAACTTCTCAAAAGCTTCCACTACCAGTATCCTAATAAACTGAAATAGCTTTTTGGACTAACTGTATTTTGCCTTGTTTTCTCTCTCTATGTTGTGCCTTTCTGTCTGTTTTGCAGGACTAACATCCCTGTCAAGGGAACAGCATGTCAGAACCACCAGCTTCGCCTTCACGCCTTGCTGGCCTTCTATCATCAGTGGAGGAAGGGAGGGCAACAAGAAGGGAACAAATGGTCAGATTGTTTTATATGTCAGTCCCATTCGTCATCTTCAGGCTGGTGTTTTCAGCTTCGTGCTTTGAGCAGCAATGTGTGGTCTTAGCTGTTTCTTCCTTTTAACTGCCAGTGGGGGTATGAACTGATTGGGTGGGAGCTTGGCTGTGTTCTGATTGGGTGGAGGTGTGTTCTGAATGGTTAGGGGCTTGGCTGTGCTCTGATTGGCTGGGGGAGTGTTCGTTTGGTTGTGCTCAGGTTAGTCTGAGTTGCAGAGGGGTTTAAGATTTTGGGCTGCCTTGCTATTTTTTGGCTTCATGTTCGTGGTTGTGCCTCCTCTTCATGGAGGGTGTAAGTTTGCTTCATGTATGGATTGGAGGGGTTTAAAGTGGCAAATGATGCAGCTGTGGTCTGGCTTCTGGTTTGTGGTCGTGCCTCGTCATCGGTGTGGCTTTGGGTTTGTTTTTTGCATGGATGTGTGGTGGTGACATCCTTCGATGTCATATCCCTCTTCACCCAAGTGCCTATCAAAGAAGCCTTGACAGCTATTCAAAACAAATATAACCCCCCCAAACACATCTTAGATCTGACCAACCACTGCCTATCCAACACATACTTCATCTATAATGGACAAAAATACAAACAAACAGAAGGAGCACCCATGGGATCACCCCTCTCACCTGTCATTGCCAACCTCTACATGGAACACTTTGAAACCCAAGCTCTAGAAAAATCGGATCACAAACCCAAACTCTGGCTCAGATACGTAGACGACACCTTCATAATCTGGCCACATGGGAAAGAAAAACTGGACAACTTCCTCACACACCTCAACAGCCTACACCCCAAAATACAGTTCACCATGGAAACAGAAGCTAACAACCAACTTCCCTTCCTGGATGTCTTAGTCTACAAGAAATCCAATGGCTCCCTAGGACACACCATCTACCAGAAGAAAACACACACAAACCGCTATCTGCACGCTCTCTCACACCACCACCCAGCACAGATCAACTCTGTAGCCAAGACACTCATCTCCAGAACAAAACGCTTAGCTGACGAACAACACCTAAAACCCGAACTACACACTCTCACCAATGTACTAACATCCAATGGATTCCATAGAAATAAGATTACAAACCTAATCCAAAAAGAAACCCCCACTAAAATCCAAGACAAAGAACAAGAAAACGGCAAAGCCCTCCTCCCATACATAAAAGGCACCACAGACAGAATCAGTAAGATCCTCCATAAACACAACATCAAAACAGCATTCTGCACAAACAGAAAAATATCCACCATCCTTAGAAACCCCAAAGATAAAATTGAATTAGAAAATCAAGGAGTATACGAAATCCCATGCACCACTTGTCCCACCACATACATCGGACAAACCAACAGAAGAATAAGTGCACGCATTGAAGAACATAAGAACTCAGTCAAAAAAGAGGAACCAACATCTTCCCTGGTCCAACACCTTAAAGCCACAGGACATGAAATTGACTTTAAAAATACCAGAACCATTGCCAAAAGTGAACATTTTAATAACAGAATAATCAGAGAAGCCATCGAGATAGAAAAACGCCCACACAGCATGAACAAGCGAGATGATACCTCCCGCCTACCAGCCATTTGGAAACCCGCCCTTATTGACAAACGACTCCCTAACACAAAAAATGATACCAGACCCACACTCACAAAAACCACACAGGATGTCACCACCACACATCCACGCAAAAAACAAACCCAAAGCCACACCGATGATGAGGCATGACCACAAACCAGAAGCCAGACCACAGCTGCATCATTAGCCACTTTAAACCCCTCCAATCCATACATGAAGCAAACTGACACCCTCCATGAAGAGGAGGCACGACCACGAACGCGAAGCCAAAAAATAGCAAGGCAGCCCAAAATCTTAAACCCCTCTGCAACTCAGACTAACCTGAGCACAACCAAACAGAACACTCCCCCAGCCAATCAGAGCACAGCCAAGCCCCTAACCATTCAGAACACACCTCCACCCAATCAGAACACAGCCAAGCTCCCACCCAATCAGTTCATACCCCCACTGGCAGTTAAAAGGAAGAAACAGCTAAGACCACACATTGCTGCTCAAAGCACGAAGCTGAAAACACCAGCCTGAAGATGACGAATGGGACTTCGTCGAAACGTCGCCAAGACACTTCCAATTTTACGCGGGAGAAAACCCGAACAACCAAAGACCTACACACACACACACACACACACATATAACAAAATTACACGCAATACATAATTTTTTTAATTAGTGCTTCTCCACTCGGTACTTCCATGGCTTTCCACTTTTGAGCAAATAGTATCCTTGCCGCCGTTACCACGTGTATGATTAGATATGTGTCACCTTTATTTACATTTTTCCCTAGTATTCCTAATAGTAATGTCTCAGGTTTGTATTGGATGTTTTGCCTAGTAATTTCTATTGCCCATTCCCAGACCATAAGCCAATACACCTGTGCTTCTCTACATGTCCACCATACATGAAAAAAATGTGCCCTTTTCTTTTTTGCATTTCCAGCACATAGGTGAGTATCCGTTATACATTTTGGCTAATCTGGCCCGGGCAAAATGCCATATGTAAACCATCTTATACAGGTTTTCTTTATATGATGTCACCAGTGTAATTTTTGTTCCCATACTTGCTGCCATTGATCCATATTTATATTATATCTTAAATCCATTGCCCATGTCACCATTGTTTCTCTAACCTGCTCCTCATATAGTTTATATTCCAACAAAGTATTTATAAATATTCTTAATTTGTTTTTTCTTGGGCCTAGCAGTATTTTATCTAACCCCGTATCTTGTCTGTTAATACCCCATTCTTGCTTATCCTTCATGTATCTTGCTTGTATCTGGAGATAAGACCACCATTCCAGGTCTATTCCTTGTTGTCTTAACTCTTGTTTTTGTTTTAGGTAACCTTCTTTTGTCAAGATGTCTTTATATAACATAGCCTTGTCTTTCCTATACAGATTGGGATATATGACTGCCTCTAATGAGGATAACCAAGCCGGGATCTTTGTATAATGTTGACGTTTGACTATATTCCAGCTTTTTATTAGTTCTTGCCAAACCTTATGTCTTAAAAAATACTGGTGGTTTCTGCTCTGCCCCGTCTATATATGAGCATGCCAACCCTGCTGGAGGTCGTAACCCTCTAAATGTAAATATCTTTTTATTTTCTAAGGTTATCCAGTCTCTAATCCACGTCAGGGCCGCTGCTTGGTAGTATAGCTCCCAATCTGGGAACCTAAACCTCCCCTCTCTTCGGCATCCTGTAATGCCTTTAATTTTATTCTTGCCTTCTTTCTTGACCACACAAATTCTAAAGTTAATTTATTCAACTCCTTGAACAATTTCTTGTCTAATTGAATTGGGATGTTCTGAAACAGGAATATCATTTCAGGTAGGATGTTCATCTTCACTGCTGCAATTCTCCCGAGATATGAGAGATGTAAATTTTTCCAACAGTCTAAATCTTCTTTTATATTCTTTACCAATTTGCCATAGTTATCTTAATTGATGAGCAGTGTGCTGAAATAACTATTCCTAGATATTTTAATTTGGAAACTACTTGTATACCTAATTTTCCCTCAAGATTTCCTTTCTGTATATTAGTCATGTTTTTTGTAATAATCTTTGTTTTATTTCTATTTATTTTCAAACCTGCCAGATCTCCATACTCTTCCAATATTTCGAATAACTTCTGCCCTGATTGTTCTGGGTGTTCTAATATAAATACTAAGTTGTCTGCATAAGCTTGAAGTTTGTATGTTTCTTTCTTAATCCTAAATCCTTTAATCTGCTCTTCTTACCTTACTACTCTAGCACGTTTCTAATGTATATATAAATAACAATGGTGAGAGAGGACATACTTGTCTTATGCCTTTCTGTATATTGAATTTATCAGTGGCCTCTCCATTTATTATGATCTGGGCCTTTTGTTCAGAATATATTGCGGTTATCACGTTTAAAAATTTTTCTCCAACATCCATTGATTTTAATTGTTGGATCATAAATAGCCAATTGACATTGTCAAAAGCCTTCTGTGCATCAAGGAACAGAAGTGCCACTTGACGATCACTATGCGACTCATAAAATTCAAGAATGTCTAAGATTGTTCTTATGTTCCGCTTAGTCTGCCTGTTTGGTAAAAACCCATTTTGATCAGAATGTATAAAATCAATAAGATAATTTTTAAATCTCTCCGCCATTATTGAGGCAAAAATTTTATAATCAGAATTCAATAATGATATAGGTCTATAATTTTGTATCCGTGTTTTTTCCGCTTCTTCTTTTGATATCAATATTATGTTTGCCTCTGTCCAGGACTTAGGTAATCTAGCTTCGGTTAATACAGTGTTGCAAAATTCTAGCAAGTATTGACTAAGTACACTTTGTTGCTCTTTATATAGTTCCGCTGGTATTCCATTTGGGCTAGTCGCCTTATTGATCTTTTGTTTACTTATAGCCCTGGTTATTTCAGCCATTCTTATTTCCTCATTTAACATAGATTTTATTTCCTCCGGTATCTTTGGTATATCTGCCTTCTCTAAGTATTCTATTATTCTTTCTACTTTCCCCCCCTCATTTCTCTTATATAATTTTTCATAGTATCTTTGAGCAATTCCCCTTTTTATAGTCTCCTCCCCCTGAATCTCTTCTTTCTCATCTTCCAAATTACTGATCCATAGCTTCTCTTTCTGTCTTAATTTATATGCCAGCCATCTTCCCAGTTTGTTCGTGTGCTCAAAGTTATTTTGCTTAGCTGCCTGTAATTTTTGTGCTAACTTTTCCGAATCCTCTATACAAAGTTTATGTTTAATTAGATCCATTTTGTTTTTCAATCCTTTGTTTTCAGGATCTCTCTGAAATTGTATTTCGGCCTGTTTGTATTCTTCCTCAAGCCTCATCCTATATCGTTTTTACTCTTTGTTTCTCTTAGCCGTTTTTACTCTTTGTTTCTCTTAGCCATGTACGAGATTGCTACATCCCTCACATATGCTTTAGCCGTATCCCAGATGTTCTGCAAGGATGTATCCCCATTGTCATTCGCTTGAAAGAAAAAGTGCATTTCTTTCTCCATACTTTCCTTAAATTCTTTTTCTTTGAGAATCGCTCTTTGGAGAGTCCATCTTGGCCTGCTTCTTTGTCCTTTCAAGCGAAAACTTATTGGGTTATGGTCTGCCCAGAGACTAGGTTCTATATCAATTTCTTGGATTTCAGAGTCTAATTCTTTTGAAAACCACAGGTTGTCTATCCTTGTCCATGATCTGTGTCTATTAGAAAAGTATGTGTATTCCCTCTTATCATAATTCCTTTCCCTCCAAACATCATGTAAGCTAAGATCTGCACACATCTCAAAAAAGGTTTTGGGAAGTGGGTTTTTTTTGGTTTCCTTTCCTTGCCTCCGTGCTTTTATAGTCTTTTGTTTTATCTGCGATCGCATTGAAATCTCCAATTATACAAAAACCATCTCCCTCTATATCACTCATCTTATTATGAAGATTGTTGAAAAGGGATACTTGAGCTCTGTTTGGGGCATATATTACAACAATTATTGTTTTTTTATTCAGTTTAGCCTCAATTATCAAAGCCCTTCCCTCTTTGTCTTTATAAATTTGTTTCAAAGTTATCTTCTGCTTAACATACAGAACTTCTCTTTTTTTCTCTCGTCTAGTGAAACATATAGCCTACCTAATTTAGGTTGTTCTAATAGATATTCTTTATCATTTTTTATGTGAACCTCCTATAACGCAATAATGTCTGCATTTAATTTAATAAGCTTACTAAAAACTTTCCTACGCTTTACTGGTGCGTTCAACCCTCTAATATTTGTTGACCAAATCCTATACTCCTCACCCAGTATCCTGTTTTTGTTGTGTCTTTGTGCTTCTAGTAATTTTTATTTCCTTCGCCTCCTCTGAACGTCTCCCCTGTTGTTCTAGCCTATCTTGTCCTCTTCCCCCTCTCATTTCCTCTATGCTTTGTTCTGTCCCTCTTTTCTCCAACATTCATTCAATATCTCTTCTTTTTTCAACCATAGCTCTTTCTTCCGCGAGATCTCTCAAGTCTTCCTCTGAGGCACAGTATTGCCTGTAGAAGTCTTCTGCTTTCTCCACTGTATCCAATCTAAACCTGTTCTCCTGCCAAGTCACAATAAGCCCCTCTGGTGTTAGCCATCTGAAATTTACATTGCTTTGATGTAACCTGGAGGTCAGAAAGAGGTAGTTCTTTCGGAGGTCTCTCATCCTTTTAGGTATTTGTTTTAACACAATAATTTGTTTCCCTCTGTATTCTAACTGTTTGTCACATGTCCTATATAATATTTCATCTCTAATTTTCTTTTCTATAAACTTCACATGGACCTCTCCTTCACATGTTGTCTCCCATAGTTTGTCTGCACCCTGTATGTCTCATCCATTCCAACAATAATCTCTTCTTTGTCAATCTCAAGACCTCCTGTCAACAAATCCGCCATCTTGTCTGGGAGATCTTCTCCTCTTTCCTCTACAACATTTTGGAATCTAAGATATTGGGTCGCCTTCTCCGCTTCCAGTAACGTCACAGCTGTCATTAACTCTTTATTAGCCACAGTTAAGTTTTTATCCATCTCTTCCACCTTCTTTTCTTCATTATCCAATCTTTGCTCTACTGCCAGCAACTTCTGCTCATTTTGTGTGATTTGCTGCTGAACCACTTCAAATCTTCCGTCCATTGCCTGAATCTTCTCTCTCATTTCTCCAGTAACATTCCTAACCACTTCTAGTTCCGTTTTGATTTCCTCATGGTTCTTCATCATGACTTCCTGCATTGCCTGCATCATTGCCTGTAATTCTTTAAGTGGGTTGGAACATTCTCTTTGAAGCATGTCATCTAACGATCTTTGGCTCATGGGACTTGAACCTTGTGTTGCATTTTTCTCCCCCCCACCAATCTTAGCTAAGTTTGGATTGCTTGCCATTTTAAATAAACTTTCCCACAACTTACTCTTCTTCCAAAATATCCACTTTCCACTTCCCTCTTTTTGTTCTTCCACTTTCTCCCCCTTTACCTTGTTCCCCTCTCAGGTGTTTAAACAATAATATCGCTGGTATATTCCGTCTATGTAAATCTATCAGCATAATACTAATACAAATACAAGTTCTAAAAATTCAATCTCTGATGTTAACTTTAAACTTTCCCAGCATTTCCTTTTTTCTTTGTATAACCAATAAACCCTTCAATTTCTCTTTAATACCCTTTCTCTTATCTTCTTTCTTCTGTCTCACACCATTCCGTTCTATACGTCCATGTAATCACCTGCTATCTCCTCAACAACACTTTCCAAAGTTGTCAGTCTCTATATCGTTCCAATTCCTCCTGTCATGCAATCTCTATTCCTTTCCAGGGAGAAGGGAAAAAAAGACACCTTTCCGCCAGCCAATCCACTTAGCAGTCAAAGGCAAAAGCCAAAGGCCATAAGACTCTCAGACAAGGTTCTTAGCTTAATTAAAGGTTGATTCCTGTCCTTTTATGTGACTTTAAAATGCTACGTCTTTAATCAGTGCAGCCTGGCTCCTCCACATCAGGCTCTTCCAGGAGCTCTTCCTGCCACTTTCACTCGCCACCTCCGCTCCTCTCCTTCAGCTTCTCTTTTTCCAGGCTTCCCCTTTCCGCTTTCTTTTTTGAGGCATCTACCAAATCCGCTCACAAAGCTTTGGGAAAAAGTCAATCTAGTCAAATCCGATTTACCGTCATTCCACTATTTCCTCGCTTACTCCGTCCAGCTGTCAGCTTCAGCGGCCATTTTTGGCCGTCTTCTTCCCGATCTGCTCGGTTCTGGGTTTATCTATTCCCGTCACCAGTCGCCACCGACAGCAGAGCAGATCGCCCACACCTTGTCGCCCCGAGGCTTCTTTCGGCTCGGATGAGCCCCACGGACCTAGGACGAGCGTTTGGTGATGCCAGAGAGACCATTTGCACTGCCGCCCGCTCTGACAACTGGCTCCATTATATTTTTATAATGGGAAATTCGGATGGGGGAACTGACAGTTGAAGAACAGAGCAGCCTGGAATCTGGTTCCTGTTGGCATCCTGGCATTGTCAAGGCTGTTTGCCCCGAGTATGGAATTTCACCAGCCCAAACACCTCAGAGTTTCTCATAACATCACAGTGGCGCTGGATTGGGTACGCTACAGCCCACGAGAGGAGGGCCAGGGGAAACCAGGGTTTTAGTTCTGTATTTCTGCGTGGGAATTTCAGATTCTGCTTGACTCTACTGCAACCAGTATTCCTTAGTAAAAAGGAATCAAGAGGTCAAGAGTTTTATTTCCTTAAGGGATCAAACTGGGGCAGGTCTTTTTTTTTTTTTTAGTTTTATTCATTTATAACATAAAATGTGAAAATACAAAAGCAAATAGTAGGGGGCAACAGTAAAAAAAGGAAAACAAAAAAGGTGTGAAGAAAGGAGGCAGAAGAAACAAAAGTCCAGAAGCGGTTTCCAAGTAGAAACAAAAGTACTTATGTTCTTTTCTTTTATCAGCACAATCAATTTGGCCATCTCTGCTAATTCCATCAGCTTTTGTAATCATTCATCCATGGTAGAAATCATGGCATCCTTCCACTTTTGTGCATAGGGAAATCTTGCTGCTGTCACCATATATAAAATCAGAGTTTCAAATTTTTTTTCCAGTTCTCTTTCCATTAGGCCCAGAAGGAAAGTTTCTGGTTTAATCTTTATGTTCACTTTAAGAATTTTCTCCATTAATATATGAATCCTACTCCAATATATCTTTGCCTTATCACATGTCTAACATAAATGATAAAAAGTCCCTTCTTTACATTTACATTTCCAATATTCATTTGAAATACCTTTATATATTCTAGATAACTTATCTGGTGTTAAATACCAGCAATACATCATTTTGTAGAAATTTTCTTTTAGGTTATAATTTAATGTCAGTTTTAAGCCTTTTATCCATATATTCTCCCATTGTTCTAACATCACATTATACCCAAAATTCCTTGTCCACTGGCTCATACAGTGTTTTACATGTTCATTTTCCAAATTCAATTTTAATAACATTTTATAGACCTTGGCAAATATATGATCATCACTACCACATAGTAGGATTTCCAATTCATTTTTAGCAAACTCAAAACCATGGGCTTTTTTGTCTATTTTAAATCTTTCCTTCATTTGTTGATAAGTAAACCAGTGACAAGCGTGATCTTCTAATTCTGATTCTTCCCTAGACTTGAGGATAGAGTCTCCAGAATTGAAAGATACTAGGGTTTCGTAAAAAACCTTGTTTTATATTTATTCCAAACTTTTAATATGGCACATCTAATAAAGTGATTATTAAAATTAATATTTACTTTAATTTTATTCTGAAGGTTCACCCACTCTTTTAACCAAATCAAACAGCATGCATCAAAATACTATTTCAAATCTGGTAAACCCAGACCCCCTCTTTCCTTGGCATCTTGCAATCACTTATATTTGATTCTTGGTTTCTTTCCTTGCCATGAATTTAGAGATATCCCTCTGCCATTGTTTAAATGGAATGTCCGTTGCAAGTACTGGTATTGTCTTTGGTAAAACATTCATTTTAATTACTGAAATTCTGCCCAATAATGTAGTTTGTTCCATCTTTGTAAATCCTTTTATATATCATTCCAAAGAAGTACATAATTATTTTGAAAGAATTTTGTGGTTGTATTTATCAGCATAACCCCCAAATATCTCACCTTTTTCTCAAACTTGAAACCAGATCTTTTAGTCAATATATCACCTTCCTGGGAGGACATATTCTTGATCAACATTATTGTTTTCTGTTTATTTATTTTAAAACCTGCTAGAACTCATTTAATTCCCTCAACATATATTCTATCTTATTTTTGGGGTCCTGTAGGAATACAATCAAGTCATCAGCAAATGCCCACAATTTGTAAACTTCTTTCTTGATATTTATACCCATTATTTTCTCATCTTGCCTAATGTCTCTATTCAAAATTTCTAACACCAAAATAAACAACAAAGGAGACAAGGGCCAGCTACAGGGCTTGCCATTCGGCGGTGGGGGGGAAAGGAGAGTATGACCCACCACCGCCGTTCCAAGCAGCCAGCCAGCCGAGCAGAAAGCAACGGGCGTCCACCCAAATCGCCCCCCCGACGTCCTACCTCCCTGCCGGCTGCCGTAGGAACCGCAAGAAACGGCGACGGGCGCTTCGCCAGCCAGCTGAGCAGCGGGGACTGGCTGGCGACCGACCAAACTGAATGCCGACCTACCTCCTTACCGGCCACCATAGGACTGGCGCCGAGTGCTCCACCAGCCAGCAGGGGAGCGGGAACTGGCTGGCGACCGCCCGAATTGAACACCGACGCTCTGACTCTCTGCTGGCCATCGTAGGATGCACAGACCCCAGCGCTGGGCACTTTGCTAGCCAGCTGCTCAGCGCGACCCAGCAATTTGGCAGAGAGAGAGAGCAGGAAGAGCTCTCCATTGAGGGCTGCACAGAAAAGTCATACTCACCAGTGCCGGAGGAGCCAGGACGCGAGGCAGCGGCAGGCGGACATGCTTTGGCCGGTCAGGCGATGGACCAAGGGGGCGGGGTTTTGTGGGAGGAGGGATTGGGTCACAAGGGAGGCTTTATAAGGGCAATTAGGCGGATGGTGGTTTGTGGGTGGAGGGTGGGGTTTTGGGCATGGTCTTATTATAAAGAGCACTGGGAGCAAGCCACTCCCAGTGCTGACTTTGTTAGGCATTGAATAAACTACCTAACTTGCACTATGTTCCTGGTTCCTGGTTTCTTCGTTCGGGGCGACAAAGGACCTAGATTGACAATACCCTTTTGAATGTCACATGGATTGGTTAAATCACCATTAATAACAATTTTTGCTTGCTGTGATGTGTAAATAGCTTTAACTCCTTGAATAAATCCCTCTCCATTTCTTCCAGAACTTTAACTGTAAAATCCAATTTAAATTGTCAAAGGCCTTCTCTGCATCTAGGAATATTAAAGCTGTCTGTTTCTCATAGTAGTATTGTAAGTATTCAGTGATATTCAGAACAGACCTCACATTATCCCTTAACTGTCTTTTTGGGAGAAAGCCAGATTGGTCTTCATGAATATACCTGTAAAATCTTCTTTAGACTTTCTGCCAAAATTGCAGCAAAGTTTATAGTCATTGTTCAGTAATGAGATTTGTCTATAATTCTTTGTCTTTGTAGGATCTTGACCCTCCTTCGGTAATAACTCAATATTGGCTTCCTTTCACATTTGGGGTATCCTCCCCTCCTAAACTATATCATTCATTATATCCTTCAGTACTGTAGAAGTTCTTCCTTGAAACACTTGTCGTATTGACTTGTAAGGCCATCTGGTCCTGGAGCTTTACCTGTTTCATTTTTTAACAGCTTCTGATATTTCGAAGACTTATTGGTCATTCCCGTTGCCTCTGAGAGTGTGATAACTTAGGTAACCTTTGTCTTAAAAGATATTAATCTATTTTAGACCTATATAACTTCTGTTTTTTTATACAAGTTAGAATAAAAATTATGGAAAGTTTTTTAACAAGTTCATTATCAGTTATTACTTTATCCCCTTCACAAATTTTCTCAATCAATCGGTTTTCCTTTTCCTTAATTTATATGCCAACCATCTCCCTGGTTTTGTTTACAAATTCAAAATGTTTTTGTTTCACATACTTCATTTTTGTTTCTATTTCTTGATCTGTTAACATAGACAGTTGTTGCTGTAACAATTTAATTTGATGGGAAATTTTTACATCTGTAGGTGTCTTTTGTAACTCAATTTCTTTTTGTCTAATCTCATCTAATATATTTGGCATCTTTTCCAGGGATTTCTTCTTTAAACAATTATACTGCATGAAATAACCCCTCATAACAGCCTTACTTGCATCTCATATAGATGTTAAAGGTATTTCTCTACCTAAATTATCAAAATACTCATTTAATTTTTTTACAGTCTTTCACAATCACCTCCTTTTGCAAAATAATGTCATTTAATCTCCATCTATAATTCAATCTTTTTCCTCTAAGTACTGAAAGCACTAGGTTATGATCAGAGAAGATTTAGGTAAAAATCAACTTTTAAAATTTTATTTGCAAGATTTTTAGAAAGTCAAATCATGTCAATCCTTGAAAAGGATTTATGTCTTTCTGAAAAAAAGGTATATTCTCTAGCACAGGGCTTTTCAACCAGTGGTACGGGTACCACTTGGGGTACATTGGCCCCTGGCAGGTGGTACGCAACCATCCTAGAAAAGTGGTAGTGGGGGAGGGGAATGAGCGCCAGGATCATTGCTGCTTTCCAGCTGATTGGCCCTTCTTCGGGGCTGTCAGGGCTCAGTGGAAGTGTCAGGATCAGCGACAGGCTCCAGCTGGAAAGCAGCACTGATCCTGACGCTTCTGCTGAGCCCGGAAGCAGCGCCAATCAGCTGGAATGTTGCAGCATCTCCAGAGTCTTGTGATTTACATTTAGATGCTTGGCAATTGATTGGTATTTATGACAGTCAGTGTCCTAGGGTCATGTGAAGTGACCAAAACCTGCTGCAAGCACCCAGCAGACAGGGGGAATAAAAACCAAACACCCACCACCCCACCTCCATTGCCAATGCTCACAACAATGAAAACCTTGGACAGGAGGAAGAGCGCCGCTGGGCAGGCAGGCAGGCAGGTGTCTTGCTCGGCTGTGGCTTGGGGGCACATTTTCAGTGCCATTGTAACTTCAAACAGTCACTAAATGAACTGTTATAAGTCGAGGACTACCTGTGCTTTATCACTTTTTTCCTTTTTGGGGGGGGGTCATCAAGTTTTTGACACCTTGCTAGGCAACTGATGGTACTCGGATATTGCCAAACCCTAAAAGTGGTACAATGGGTGAAAAGGTTGAAAAGCCGTGCTCTAGCAGAACCATTTTTATATCTCCATAAGTTTATTAGTACTAAGTTATCCATCATGTCAAAGAAAATTTCGGTAGTTTATCCTGAGAGGGTTTATCCCTTTAGATCAGTGGTTCTCAACCTTCCTAATGCCGCGACCCTTTAATACAGTTCCTCATGTTGTGGTGACCCTCAACCATAAAATTATTTTCATTGCTACTTCATAACTGTAATTTTGCTACTGTTATGAATCGTAATGTAAATATCTGATATGCAGGGTGTATTTTCATTGTTACAAATTGAACATAATTAAAGCATAGTAATTAATCACAAAAACAATATAGCAATGCTCGCTGGAGAAGCTTACTCTTTCTTACTCAAAAATGTTGGGAGGGAGGGAAGGGGAAGGAAGGAAGGAAGATTGAAGGGGAAAGGAAGGAGATGGAGAAGGAAGGAGATTGAAGGGGAAAAGAAGGAAGACTGAAGGGGAAAGGAAGGAAGGAAGACTGAAGGAGGAAGGAAGGAAGGAAGGAAGGAAGGAAGGAAGGAAGGAAGGAAGGAAGGAAGGAAGGAAGGAGAGATTGAAGGGGAAGGGAAGGAAATGGATGGATGGATGGAAGCATTGATCTTTGGAGAGTCATGTTTTTCCAGATGGTGATGAACTGCAACTTCCAGCATTCCCCACTCTTGCCCTTTCCCAGCCGCACCCCCGGGATCTGCCCGCCCCTCCAGCCTCCAGAGC